CATCTCTTGTCAATAATAATGATGTGATCAAAGAGGATGAACAAGAAGGTATAACATTAATATGTGGCCATGCTTATCATAAATGTTTGGAACTTTATAAAAAGGGTGTTGTCTCATGTAAAATCCTATATAATAATAATAGTAAATGGATTTAATGATGATTTAGTGTTGATTTAATTAATTTAGCTTTGAATTTAGGAAATTTAGATTAATTCCCGGAGAAACATTTGTTAAAGTATTTGCATCAGATAGATCTCATATGGTAAATATTCATGTATATTATTGAAATGTAATTATTATTATCATTATTATTTATTGGAAATTACAACTGATTGGTTAGATTGATAAAGATGGAATGTGGAATTCACCACCTCCAAATTATCCTCCAATATCAAATCAAGGTAAATAAAATCATTCATCCATATTTCAAATCAATTAGTTAATATTTAGTAATTTATATTTGTAGAATTTACAATGAATCTTGATTTATTTATTTCCATGACTGAAAATTTAAATTCTGATAAATTTGGCAAAGTAATTAATGAATCTGAATTTATTAAAAAGTTTTTATAAAAGAATAATTAGATTATTTATTTTTCCATTAAATAATAACATACAAATTGTTTATGAATCATCACAAGTCATTTGGGATTTGGGATTTAGGAATTATGACTTTTAATTAGCTTCTCTAACTTAATTTTTTTAATGAAGGATTAATCAATTTTAAAAGCTTTTTATTTTAATAATTATAATAACAATTGTCTATAGAATCTGAAAAAAAATAAAGATTTAATTTGAATAATCAGGCTCAAGAGGCTCAAAACTCGAGCTTAAAACTGACATTGAAACTGAACATTATCATTTCCATTAAAAATATAATGTAAAGATGAATCTAAATTGTATTACTTTTGATAAAGATATACAGTATGTGTATGCCACACACATAAACACTTTAAAAATTTCTTTTGAAGTTTTATCATACAAAAAAAATTCTTTTTTAAAAATGCAAAACATAAATCTGAAATTGAACTTTATCAACCTCACAAATAGTCAATAAATAACTTTAATAATAATAACTATTATTACTATATTGTAAAGTTTTTATTATATGATTGCATTACTTATTATAAATACAATGAATCATCCAACTACTAAAAACTAGTGCCGTAAATTATGATGATGGTAGTAATTGTATTTACGGCATATAAAAAGTGGTTGCAATTACCTTTGCAAC